TCCTCTTCACATCTAAGTAGAATGCGAGAGGCCTTGAAAGACAGGTTGCGGTTCTCAGATTCTCTCGGTTTACATTGTTCTTGAACATCTTTATTTTCTAATCAGAATGCTGACATGGGATTTAGGCTAGCATTTACCAGTGCAGATATTCTGGAAGCCTATTCATCATTACATATTTTTCCATATACAAATGGACATTTAGGAGGGAAATATAGACATTCTTTTTTTCCCTACTTCATTAAGATATGAAGCCAATGCAATTTGCAAACTGAATAAAGTGAGCTGTGGAATTTAGGTTCTTTTGGAATAAAAGAGAAGAAAATACCAATTTTTTGAGGATGGGAACTTTCACACAATACAACAAACAGCATGCAAGAGTCAGTGTGTTTGCTGTGCATTAGGCATATTGTTTATCACCGGCACTGAACTATATAAGTGTTTTTGTTGTTGTTGTTCGTTTGCTTTTGTTTTATTTTTTTAAACCACCATTCTGAAGTCCATTTAAATCCATCAGATGGATTTTATTATTATTATTATTGTTATTATTTATACCACAGTAAAAATAATTGGTTTTGAGATGCTGCATCAGGCACCCACTTTGTAAAACTCAAAAGTAATGTTTACAAATCAATCTTTCTAAAATTATATTTTTGATGTTTGGGAACAAAGCTCAGCTGGCTTCCTTTTCGTTAGTTTTTGCCTCAGTGGTAGGCCACAGGGTTTGAGAATTGAAGGGTTTTTTCAATTACACAGAAAACAGCAGGTTTCCATTAAAGAACAAATTGTATCATCTGAATACATGCTAGATATTTTTATAAGTAATTATAACAGGTAACACATTGACTGCTTCATTTATTTCTGCTACTTCGTCATTTTTCAGGTTAAAATCCACATATAGTGATCATTTCTAAAGGTACTTACATATATTTTCCTTAAATCAGTTACCGAAAACTTCAGTGTGTAAATCCACAGTACTGACTATAGGCTGCCACAATTACACTCAATGGTTTCGAGTACATTTTGGTATCATTCAGAGCTGCCATGTGCTGTCACCTGGGAGACAAAACGGTTTAAATGTATTGAATAAATTATGAGTAGTAGGAGCAGTGCCTTGGGAGTGCCATGGTCTAGGTACTGGGCTGCTACTTGCAAGATGGATAGTTGAAATCCACAAACCTTTCTCCAGAGAATGATGAGTCTTTTTGCTCATGTAAAAATTCACAGGCTCAGAAGCTCTACTTCAGATCACCTATGAGGATTACCAAGGGACCCAGGAAAGCGGAAACTATAGATGCTGAGCCTATAGCTCCCCAAAGACGTTAGGTGATGTAAGAAACAAAGACTTCCCCTCAGGATTGGTATAGAGCAAAAGCCTTTTTCTACAGCTGGTGTCTCAGATTAGGATGTCTAGCTTCCTGAAGTGTGAAAACAGAAATGTCTATCCTTTTCTGTTACAACAGCACTAAGAAACTAAGACAAGATGCACAAAATGGTGAAGACCATTTTAAATCCGAAGGATAGAAGCATAATGATACAGAAAGTTCTGTACGTATGAAAGCATAGGGTATATGTTTGGGCAGTGACAATAGTTGGTATTGAAAAAGTAAGCTAGAGCTTTCTCCTAAAAGGTTATGCATGCTAGCATGTTTCATGAAATACTGTATGTGATCTTTACATTAATAATTACTGACCAATGAGAGACAGGATTTTAAATAGATATATGGTTATTTTGGTACGACTGTGAAAGATCTAGTATAAGAGGAAGGACGAGTTGCAGAAAAAGGCATCTTGAGTCTATTGCAATGGTCATTTTAAAGGGACCTATAACATTTTGAACTAGAGCAATATCAGAAATAATGGAGGTAGATTCAAAAGATAGTTTGGAGGTAAAACTGGAAATTCATGGAGATTTATAGAGGATATGAAAGAGCGTGGGTTAGAGAATTTAGCCTAAATAATTCACTATTAGATGGAAGGCAAAGATTTACTCATATTATGAAGAGATATACAACTGGGCTCCCATAAGCTTGTGGAAATAGTAAACTAAAAGATATTGGTAGTTTTCCATGCACGCTTGAAAGACCCCTCATCTCTATTCATATATTGGCTTTGAGTGAAGTCTTGTGATTTCAACAGAGCGGAATGGGACCTTGATTTAATATTCACATGCACTGCATTGGAGCCATCTTTGGAACTGAGATGGTCAGCTTAGTCAGTTGTTCCATACAAGGCTCAGCCCATGAACTCTGCTCTATTTAGGAGCAAGGCAGCCTAAGAGGAAGATAGAGGGGACATGTCGAAACTCATATCACTATATTAAAATTCATAAAAGAGAAGCATTTTCAATTTCCCCCATTACCCTTGCTAATCATTTAATAAAAAAATTCCTTTCAATATTTTTCCTTTTTTAATAATGAAGATATTTTCAACTCCTAAGGCTATCTGCAAAAGAATGTTGATTTGCATTTCAAAACTTTGCCCTAAACTGTCAAACTGAATAACACTTCTCTGAAAATTTCCTCTGTCAATGGAGAAGTGGTAAACAACTATTAAAGTATAAACAGACATTCTCTTCCACTGCAGCAGACTCCCCCCACCCTTTTTTTCCCCAGTCCTCAGCATGGTTAGTGTAGTGCTTTGTATGAGGGGCTTTCCAAAAGTGCATAGGAAAATCCCATTCCTTTTTTATTCTATTTTACCACCAACTTTTTAAAGCCCTGTTGGATGTGCTCAAAGATGCCCTGGTGGTGGGTTACCCATTTAGCTGCTAACTACAAGGGCAGCAGTTCAAAGCCACTAGCCACTTCTGGGGAGAAAAATGAGGCTTTCTGCTACCAGAAAGATTTATAACCATGTGAACCGACTAGGGAACTTCTACTCGGTCTTATAAGGTTGTTATGAGTTGGAATTGACTTAAAGGCTGTGAATTTGGTTTGGGATTTTGGTATGTCTTTGAATTGTTAGAAAAGTGCCAGGGACGTATTGCATTTAAGGGATCCGTCATTGATTGAATCACTTGGTGTTGTCGTGGGTGTGCATCGGGCTGCTACCCTCAAGCTCAAGCCACCATAAGCTCCACAGGAGAAAGATGAAGAGTTCGATGCCTGTGAAGGGTTACAGGTTTGAAAACTCCCAGTGGCAGTTCTACCCTCGTCCACTGGACTCCTATGAACTGGAATCAGCTCAATAACAGTGTATTAGTGAGTTACAGACATCAGAGATTATTTCTTCATTTTAATGATATGAAATTAGGCTCCGGGAATATACAGGTCCTTGGGTGGGGCAGATACTTTGCTTTCAGTTCCTAACCTTTCGGTTGGCAATTTGAAAGCCCCCAGATATGCCATGGAAGAAAGGTCTAGTAATTTCTTTCTATTAAGATGACCTAGGGAACCCTACAGAACATGTCATGGGGTGAATTGTTCCCTCCAAATACATGTCAGCCTGGCTGGGTTGTGATCCTCTGTGGTTTGGTAGTTATGTAATATCACACACACACACATACACACACACACACACACACACACACACACACACACGATGTAATATGATCCTATTAAGACAGGGGTATGCACTGACATCAAAGAGATTCTGACTCATAGAAATACTATGGAGCAGAGCAGAACAGTTCCTTTGGGTTTCTGAGAGTGTAAAAACCTGCTCTTTCTCCTTTGGGGTGCCTAATGGATTTGAACTGCCAACTTCATCATTGGTAGTCCAACACTTAACACACTATCCCACCAGGACTCTGTAAAAGTAGCATGAAACACCCTTAATCCCATCCCAGTCCTGATTCCATGAAAGGGGTGTTTCACAGGGTAGGCTGTACAATACCTTTTACCTAGAGCTGACTCTGTAATTGTGGCCTTCTAGCCTCCAAAATCGTGAGAGAATGAGTGCCCGTGGATTCAAGCCATCCACTTGTGGTATTTCTAGTACAGCAAGAGTAGGACCCTGCTTTGACAGCCAAAATGTGTACCCAAAATTTTTGGGATTGGGTAATGAGTAGAAGTTGGATGTGTACCGAGATGTCAAATAGGAATAGCTTAGATTTTCATGAAAAAAGAGTTGATGGCATTAGAGATATCAAAGGCAATTCTGGGCTCAGAAGGAAGTGAGGAGAACTATAACCCTAGGGCCAGTACAGATGGGGAGACACAGCAGCCCTGCAATAGTGGCAGCACAAGCAAGAAGCAAGACAGCAAGGGAAGTCAAGCCATGAACTGAGAGAGCTCAATGCCCAAGGACAGCAGGCTTCCTGGTGGAGTCATGTGTTTCTGGATACATACTGATGGAACTAAAGAGCTTTGTAAGGTTTTCCTGACCAAAGAATCAGGAAACAGGAGTTAGAGACAAAGAAACAGAGCTTCCCACAGTCTCAAAGGGTTGGGCCATGGCATCTTGAATTTCAATGAGTGGGGCTATGGCTTCTGGGGTTTCGAAGGGCGGAGCACACATTTTTAGAGTTTAAAGTGTTAGATCTTCACCAACTCCATTCAGGAGTGTGAGGTTTCCCTTCATTTGGGGCCATTGCCCAAAGAGCTTCCATGCCTGAGATGGCCAAAGGGTGAACTAGCATGGATTAAATTGTGACCGCAAAAATATGTGTCAACCTGGCTGAGCTAAGATTCTCAGGGATGTGATCTGATGTGATAAGTCACCATTGTAAACAAGTTGTAAGCAAGGATTACCGTGAGATGTGACACCTTTAATCCTGTCCCAAACCTGATTGGATATAGGGGACATGTCCCTGCTGATGTATGGGATGGGTCATGAGTTGCACTGCAACAACTAAGTCAGCAGGTGGAAATCACCAGCCACTCACCAAGATGAGGCTTTCTATTCCCATAAAGTAATTAAGTCTCAGGACCCCACAGGGGCAGCCCTAGTCTTTCCTATAGGGGCACTATGAGTCAGAATTGATACCAAGGCAGTGAGGTTTTTACTTTGATTTTGGTTCCTGAGATGTTACTTGAAACATTGGGAACTTTCTAGATGAAATGACGACTGTCACCTGGACACATGAAGACCTCCATGGAATGTTGGGTCTACAAATGCTGAGAGTACGTACACAAAGGACTTCCTCCTAAGTGGTGAACCCAAAGAGAGAAAGCTTTCTACCACAGCAGGTGCTGGGAACTTTTACATCTAGTCCCCTCAACTACAAGAGAAAAAAATTCATTTGTTAAGCCACCTACCTGTGCTGTTTCTATTAGAAAGACACTAGATAACGGAGACAGTACTGTCGTGCATAGGGTGCTCAGGGCTCAGACTTGACTCCGAGGTAACAGTGTTGTTTCATTGGGTCTCAGTTTCTAGATAATGCAAATCGTTAAAGCACTTTCAGGGCATCAGCAGGTTGAAGGGTGGAGGCTAACTTCTTGAACAGGTTTCCAAGGACAATTCTATGGCACGCGTTCTCCTCTGACCAGCACCAGTCAGAATTAACTTACAGCACTGCTGTTGTTTGTGTATTCTTTTTTGTTTTTTCAGTGAAAATATCTCTGTTAATACCAACTGTCCAAACCTGAGCAAACCAAGAAGAGTCCTCCATCTAGTTTACATGCTTATTATGCCATCAAGAGCATTTAAAATTTTATTCAATGGTACTATTTACAGAAATACACTTATCTTTTGGACATATCCATTCATGTATATAATGTAATAGATGTTACCTTGTGAGGCTGGCACAGGACCACACAGTGTTTCATTCAATTGGACCTCAGGTTGCTATGGGTGGGAGCCAACCTTGTGGCACATAACAACAACAACAGCAACAACAACAACAATAACAATAACCACATTATGATTATTTTGTGGCTCTTGCTGTGTAATTAAGTTAGTCATTCACATAAATAAAGTAGCCATCGATTTTACTAAAGAATTGTTGAACTGTGTTGGTGAAAAAAATAATTCTCAAATTAGTGAATTTATCTGAAACTGAATTTCTTCTCTTATTTTCTCCCAGCCATGACAATGCTGTTTATTAGTCATCAGTTCCCTGATTATTATGATCCTACAATAGGTGAATGAAAGTCTCTTTTCTTCTTTAGTACAAATAAGGAAACTCTAAAAAATGGCTCATTAATATTATTGATATCCGAGGAAAAAGTAAGACATATGTTTACACCCTGATTCCTACCACAGAGGAGAAAATAGAGAAAATGGTTTACTTAGAATGAAACAAGGAGGCTTTTGGAAAACCAAGAGTTTTCCAAACCTGCAGTCGGCATCATTGCCTCTGTTTTGTGAGGTGAAGGACTTTGTGGACTGGTGTTGGGTATGGGTTAATGTTGGACTTGTGGGCTTGGGCAGCATTGGGTTGGGATGTTTTCATAATGCACATTTTCTTTGCATAAAACTCTCTCTTATAAAAAAAAAAAAGGAAAGTGCTCACTCAAAAAGCACAGCTGTGCTCCAAGGTGTCAGAATCCCAACAAGGCTAATAAACAGTGAAATGAAAAAATGACAGGTAAGGTTTTAGTTGGTTGACATTTACAGAGCTTTGTGTAATCAATCAGTCATAAGGCTATCGTGAAACCCCAGAAGTTTCCACTGAATGACCATAAATATTTTTAAATAACTTGTTTTTCTGATCTGCAGACACTTGAGGCTGGCAAGGATAAGCATTTTACAAAATTAGTTTTATAGAAAGCCTGAAGTCAACATTCTTTCCAAGAACAGGTTGTGCAGGAATGAGAGTGGGCCATTGATTTCCTTGACTTGCCCAACCACATTCCAGATCCTGATCTCCTTTGCTAATGGCAGGTTGAATTCAGGAGTTCAGCTCTATAAAAATGCAGAAATAAAGCTGAAGAAAAATGGAGTCTAATCTGTACCCAAGTGAGACATTTAGTTATGACAAATACATACGGTTTTGAGGTTTGGCTGCACATCCTATGCACACATATGTACAGAGAAAATATATAAGCTATTGAAATAATTTTTTTCAAAAAATAGTGATTTGTTCTCACTTCTTACCATGCACACTGATATTTTTATTCTATTCTATTTATTTTCAATAAATGATGGATACTTTGTCAGACTTGGCTTTCTAGAGAACAAAACCAATGATGGGGATATATGTATATGTATGTATATATTATATTTCCATCCATATCTATATAGAGCGGGGAGGAGAAAGAGAGACCAAGAAAATGGTTCACACAATTTCGAACATTGACAAGTCCAGATCAAGGCCCCACAGGCTGCAGAGGAAGATAAATGCAAGGGCAGCATGCCAGGCTTGTGACAAGAGAGGCTAATGAATCCAGCTTCAGCAGGTTAGATGAGAGGTGACTGATAGCTACTGTCATTGGCAGGCAATCTGGAAGTCTGTTGGATCAATTCAAAGAACTTTAGATAAATGGGCCAGATGCAGAATCCAGACCCAGGACAGGCAAGCAAACTTGCGTACAGCATCCATTTGTATAGGAAGTCTCAAGGAAACCCTCCTTGCAATTACATCAGTTCTGTGACCTAAGTTGGGTGGTTGCATTCTACCATGGTCTTCTTACAATTGATTAGTTGCTGACAGTAAATCCCATTATGGAGTTGCTTACATTGTGCTGCATCATAGCCTGGGCGATAACCAGGCATTAACTGTGAAAATTATATATAGGGTCGCTATGAGTTGGTGTTGATCAATGATAATGAGACTGTTCTGTGTTTGTTTGGGTAAATCCTGGCCCAATAAAGTTGACTCAACACTTAACAATCGCAGATATCCAAACCAAACTTACTGCCAGTGAGTCTATTATGGCTCATAGGGATAGCTATAGTTATTGAAACTGAACATCTTCATGGGAACAGATAGTCTCTTCTTTGTCCATGCGAGCAACTGGAGTGTTGGACCTGCAGAACTTTCCGTTCGCAGTTCAACCATGACTTTACAACGTCACCGGTGTTCCTCTAATGATGGTTAGTATCCTCTAAATTGACTTCAGATTTCACTACTAGTCTCTATTTCAAAATCTGTGCTCTTGATGAACTAATGGATGCTGTTTATGCTAATTTGGTCATTCTGCATACTTGTATTTATCACTTGTTGATTTTTCTATTGTCATCTCAGTAAACTGTGTTGATATAAAATTGTCTTTGGGAAGGACTTCAAATTGATATACAACCTTGTGTGCCAGTCTCATTATATAGAGAACAATGAGACTCCACGAATGAGAACATGTCTGAGTCCAAGTCAAATCATGTGCCTTTCTTTCCCTTCCGCTTCCTCTCTGCTCCCATTGGAGAAGCATTGCACTAAGATACATGCTTTTATGTGTTTTCCTTTACCCTCAATTCAGAGAGAAAAAGGGTCTTTAAATTTGCTTTACTGAATCTAAGAGCTTCTTTAAAGAAATATTTAGAGATTCCTAAGCAGAATTTCCCAAGTAGATTCCATCTAGACATATGGAGGCATTTAACATACTATCCATGGAGCATTGTTCTGTGGGAAAAAGAAATCGTTTAACTTTGTGATAGCTCATTGCTTGCCTAACGTGTGAGCTCCAAACAATATTCTGTTTGGAATTCCCTTCCTTGAGATAGATCCTGTTCTCTTTCACACGGGGTAACACCCTATAATTTCTATTCTGCTCCCAAGCAATTGCAGATTGCATTCTAGGTCACCTAAAAATTCTATCCTCTACATAATTCTCCTGCACCCCACAAATTCTGAAATCATTAAAATATAGTTGTTGCCTGCCCCCCCAAATATCGTTTGCTAACATAGACTTCCTTATTGATTGAACTGAATTAGTTAAGGTTTAAGTGTAGCTGATCGAGATGTTATTTTTCAGAAAGGAATGCCTCACACCGAAGAGAAAATAATTACTTTATAAAAAATTCTAGAAGTGCATCCGGGACAGATAAACCCCTCAGGAATGGCAACAGGAGTAATGATGATACCATGAAGGTAGGGGGAAGATGGGGGGAGAAGGGAAAGAAACTGGAAACTGACTCCAATGACACATAATTCCCTCCCCCTCCCCAGGGGGATGAACAACAATAACATGGGTGAAGGGAGACAGCAGGACAAATAGGATATAAACATAATGATAATTTATATTTTATTAGGGGTCTGTGAGGGTGTGAGAGTGGGAAAAGGAGGGCAAAAAGAGGCGCTGATACCAAGGGCTCAAAGAGAAAGAAAATATTTTGAAAATGATGAAGGCAGCATATGTACAAATTTGCTTGCTACAATTGATATATGGATTGTTATTAGAGCTGTAAGAGTCCCCAATAAAGTGATTTATATTTTAAAAAAATGTTCTAGAAATGTTTAGCTGAAATTCTACTTTAATAATATTCTAAGTTCAGTCTCTACATATCTTCATTCTGAAATGTCAATTGCTTTGCCTCATGCACTATGAGTCAAAGAAGAGGGAGATTTCTAGATACAAGTTCTGAATCATTGAGCTGGTAGGGAACGTCAACAGCCCATCATTTATGAAATCATATGTTCCCTCTGTTGTTCATTGTCTTGTGTCACTGTTTAAGCTTTACCGACATGGGCATATCAATATCCTGTCCCTTGTCTACCAGTCTCTCTTGTCTAATGGCTGAATCAGCAGCAGATCTGACTCAATCACAAATGGCTCCAATAGGAAGAAGGAATGAGAAGTATGTTATGATGATTCCTTTAGATATGCGTAAAGTACATCTATAATTTGATATCAATCTAACTGGACAGTCAATGTTAACTTATAGCTGAAACCATACCTTTCTCTAGCTGCAAATAAAATAGGTTTAACAGAAGACGTTGGAACATGGAGAGACAGAGCCTTTTATTATTTACAATTCGATTTTCCCATTCTTACATTTCTTGAATTCTCTAATGGGAATATTAGTTAACAATTTTCCATTGGTATCCTTCTTAAGGAAGGAAGAAGTCCCAAATAATTTACTTTTCACCTGCTCAGGCTCCACTACTATAACTCAGTCTGACTGACTGTGCTCTCAAGAGGAATTCATACTAGTGTGTTTTGAAAGCCATACAAATTACTGAAGAATACTACCTATCAAAACAAGGTTGTTTATTTTATGATTTAGGTAGGAAATGAATATCTATTTTTCAATCCTCATTCAAGTCTACTTGTCATCCTACTGACTGGGGTATTTTGGGAAAAAAATTTTCTTTCTGGTCATTGAAAGATTTGTATGGTTTGTCTTCTTTCATATATTCAACTTAGAATTATTCTTCTTTCAATTTTATATCAATTAAGAAAACCCAGGTTTCCTTTATCTCTGATAAAATTGAGGATCTTATCTGATACCAGTGTTCTTCCCAAAGGAGTAATTGTTCTTAGTTACATAGCGACAGTTTCAAAGTCAGATTTAGTGTTTTCAGCTTCTGCAAAACCATAGAAGGTATTTATGAAAGAATATTTAAATTATTCTTCCATGCATGAAGATCTCGCACAAAGGTTAAATTAAGTTTCTTATAAAAGTACCAAATATAAAAATAATTCAAGTTTTTGTTATTTTATAACTGTTACATTGAGTTCTTCTAAGCATTGGACACTATACAAACTACCATTCGATTTTTTTCTATAGTAAAATAAAATGAATAAGAAATAACATTTTAGCCAAATATCTGATGTGAAACCGTTATATTAAAAAAACACAGCAAAATTTATTAATAAGAAATAGTTAAAGGTGGCCATTGTGTGAAAACTGTAAGTGCCTGATCTCTGAAAAGCAAATGGCTAGTCTTTAATAATAAAAATAATAATAATAGTAACACAGTTTCTGTCCTCACGGGGTTTTCAACTAAGGAAGATAATTAAAATAAATACCCAATCCTTATTATATCTGGGAAAACATGTTTTGTAAAAAATTTCAAAATGCTAAGGAGTTTGGGAAAGAAAAAGAGATCATTTAGTGACCCTCTCCTAAACTTTACCCTCTGTGATTTTAGATTAATGGACTTTACTTGTCATTACATAGTTCAAAAATATTTCTCTGGGGAGAGTTTTTAGCGAACTCTAGCTTTCTTAAAGATTTTTGAGAAAAAGACTTTTCAGGTGT